AGTGAAATGTAGACATTCTACTTCCAATCAGCCTTCACAGCAGCACAAATATTAGCATCAAAGTAAGTCTACTATCATGCACTTCTCTCGAATCAACCCGTTAGCAAAATCCAAAGCACTTTCTTTTCCTATCTTAAAAATGTATTACTGAAAGCTGTACATGGAAGAAATTAGATTTTTAGTTTAAATTATGTACAATTCATGTTTGAAAAGTTGGCGATGGAGAAAGCAGGATAATTTGTATTAAACGTTCGGACAAATGACTCTTTAGTAATTTAGGTTAACAGATCCATGTATTAAGGAAAGTACATATAAAAGTTCTATAACTTCAAAGACACTGCTACAAACTTTTCACCTTAAAAGACAGAACTACGAGGTTCGAATAAAGTTCCTGCAGGTATTTATTCAATATTCATGCACCTATTGAAACCATAATGTGCACTGAAAAATCCACCAGATAGTGCCTCAATCTGTAACCCTATTATGATTATGACCTTTTTAGAAGCCTTCTTGCAAGTTATATCACCACGAGAAGACCAACAAAGCAGATTTATTTTTAGAGTGAATCTCCAGTTGTGGAGTGCCAAGTGTAGAGAAACATATTTGTTCTCATCTTTTGGGCAAAGGGAAGAATTTTTATTTCCCCAGGCCTTTTATCCTTGCACTCAAACATTTTTTCCTAGAGATTTGCAGTTCCTCTTAAGCCTTTAGAATAATGCAGATTTAAAGAAGAATTTATTCTCCTTTGTCTTTTTACTTTATGTTTCAACAACTTATTTATTCTCTTATATAATTAGTTGGTCCAAAAATCTTCGTTAGTGGGTAGCCAAATTACAGTGTACAGGTAGTCCTTGCTTGAAAACCATTCGTTTAGTGACCGTTCAAAGTTACAATGATGCTAAAAGGTGACATATGACCAGTGCCCAAAGTTATGACTGTTCCAGCTTCCCTGCTGTCATGTGATTGCAATCCAGGTGCTTGGCAACCAGTTCACACTTACAATGGTTGCAGCATCCCAGGGTCATGTAAGCGTCATTTGCGACCTTCCCTGATGGCTTCCAGCGAGCCAAATCAATAGGGAACAGCGTGATTCGTTTAATGCCCATGTGATTTGTTTAATGACCCTGGTGATTCGCTTAATGACTGCTGCAAAAGATTGTAAAGTCGGGTCCAATTCCCTTAAATACCACTCTGCTTAACAAGCAATTTTCTGGTCTCTATTATGGTCGTTAAGCGAGGACTATCTGTAAAATTAATAAATCAATACAAATAAATCAAACCTGGAAATATTTCACAAGATAAATGATAGAATGCAAATCATGTCAAGTTCCTATTTATTCCCCTATGGTAACATCCAAATTATATCACTTAGATGCAGCAAAAGGTGCACAAGAATGTTCCAGCATGTTATACAGGGTATATCCTCTTGTTTAACTCTGTGTCATGCATGTATAGGCTTTACCCTTGTAGTTCACATGCAGGTAGATATAATATAATCTCACCTCATTGCTTATTTTACATAAT